GTTGATGTATTGCTAACTTCTGCTGAGCTGTGCTCCATTGAAAAAGGTTCAAGCATGGAAATATCCATAATAAAAAATCAAATAGGCATATCCCAGTGAATGCTAATGTCAACAATAAATTTAGTTTTTCTGTGATACGAGTATTGAAAATGATTTTTCATGGGATGCAAACAAGTAGGAATCACGACAGAGAAGCTGGTTAAAGGCAGATGACCTCTCTGAGCAATTCAGTAAGACACGGATCAGCCTTCAGCCACAAACACAAAGATTAGCTATAGAGGGAAATGCCAATCAAAGGGGATAGTTAGCCGAAAATAAAGATCAGGGTAGAGAAAGGTCTATCGTTACACAGAAAGAATTTGTATTAAGAACCTCCTTTTCTGTGCAGAGACATGCAACAATTTTCTTCTTTTTTTAATGCACCAAAGTGTCCATTCGTCTTTCTTCTGGGTCTGTTTTTTTCCCAGATTCAAACACGTTGCCTTCCTGTTTGATATATTCCACATTGTGTTGGATCTTCAAACAGCATTGGTGGTACTGCCCCACTGAGGTAGAGGTCCACTGAATGCAAGTTGTACAAAGCCAGTGGTGATCAAAAGCATTGTGGCCAGATGATAAAAAGTAATAAACCAATACAGGTAACACAGGGGTTGACAAGTTTTCAAAAGGGTTAGAAGAAATTATTATGTATCATCTGTTCTTTTTTCAGTAGGTGTGAGTCCCTGCAGAGTCAGATAATGTGCAGTCACAGGGTCAGAGTTGATCCTGATTAGTCTGTGTTATTCAATTACCTGGATGGGTGGGAATAGATCTTCATCTTTATCATCAAAAAATGACAGCCCTAGTGTACTCTGAAGATGGCAGAGGTAGTGTAATTAAGAAATGTTGATGAGGGGTGTACAAGTTTGACATGAAAATGAGATCCCTTGAGCAACTCTATGGAAATTAAAAGGTTAAGCAGTAAACGCTTAGGCATGCAAACAGGACAGGTGTTAAAGATGAATCAGGAACAATCAAATACCTAATAACTGCCTGAGCTGCTATTTTTATACAAAACCTGCACATTTATTTGTGTGGACTGTGTTTGCAATGAATGCAGCATCTATTTACAGAGTACAGAAGCTAACTGGATGTGTTGATAAAATGATTTCTAACAATATTGGCATCTAGGTAGTCACAGTTAGGCTTCAAAATTTACTGTCAAAAAGGGGTAGTTCATACTTAATGCTTCTTTTTTCCATGTGTTTGATACAGATCAACAGCAACTTGGCCCACATGTGCAAATTCATCTTTGCAACTGGCAAGTCTAGAAAAAAAAATTCCCACCAAAATGGCAAGCTCAATCTCTACGGTGAATAAACATCAAAAATCCATTGCAAGAATAGGAAATCTGAAAATATTCCTTTAGGCTTTCAACAGTCGCACATGGCATCTCATTGCTGAACATTTAATTTCATAGTCTATTCAGTACACATTTTGAAAAGGTGGGAAATCCTAGACTTTGGATTTGTTGACAGTTTAAAGAGCGGGAGAAAAAAAAAGGAAAGTGATCACGGTATATAGTAATGGATCAAATTCAGCTAAGACAGTTTAACTAAATATTTTTAAACAAAAAACTTCATACAATTGGAACCAGCAGGTTATAATATTTCCTAAAGCATTTACAGTTACCTCTTTAGTACCGATCTATGGCACTGCTCTTACATAATAAATTACTTTAGCATATTACGTTATAGAGAAGTGATTGCATCCAACGATTCATGAATGTATAATTCAATGCACAATGCTTTTAATGAAATAGGTTTGCAGACTGAAGTTAGTTTACTTCTGTCTACAACCTGAACAGGACTGAGTAGTTTTTAAAAGTCTGCTTAAGATTAGGCCCTGATGAGAACAAGGTGTACATAATAATAATCATTACAGAAATTTTTGATTCACGTATCCCAGGCTAAGTGACTGTAGTCTCCATTTGTCTTGGCAAGTACAGCAGTTGGTGCTGACCTAAGTCAGATTTGATTCCTCATTCAGTTCTCTAGTAAGGCACTTTATATTGTGTGCTGAGTTCTTGTCTAAGTACTTTCACTTCATAAAACGCAAGGCAGGCCTAACAACAAAGGTTCAATGTGAAGCGCTACTACACATCGTTTGCTGTTCTTTCTAAGAGCTTCCATTCTAGCTTGGAAAAAGACACCAACAGAAGAATTATATCATCGACTGAGAAGCTTTGAATTGTAAGCAGAAGATACAATTTCTCTTCAAGGGGCTCTTGACATCTCTCAAACATACTTTTACTATTCCCCTGATTAATCAATTCAGGAGCACTTAGCACACAGATCAACTTATTTGAGGTTTATTGCTGTAGGTAGGAAGCCAGCTCTGAGTTCTGTGCTAGACACATACTTATTCTCAGTGTCCTCTGGTCTCAAAACACTGTGGACCTCCTGTCTGGCACATTTTCTAGGCATAGATTTAACATCCTTTCACTGAAACGGAAACTTCATCCTGGTGACATCCTTAACGTTTTCTGATTGCCGGTCATCTCAGCTGCAGATTTTGTGGTACGCTTACATATATTTGTGTGTTTATGTACATGCATGCTTACATGTACCACAATGGAGTTTAGAACAGTGTCATTTAAAACAAGAGCAATTGCAATTACTCATTTTCAAGATAATACTGACAAAAAACCCCAGATAGATAGTTGTTTTACATTGGAAGACAGAAAAAAAATGTCCACCGCTTTGTAAAAGATGTGAGTTTGTCTCCTTTATGCGCTCAACCTGTGTTAGCACGTACCCAGTTTTGCTAGCTTGGGAAAATCCTCACTAAAAGCCACTGCACAAATGCATGAAGGCATAAGAACACCAACATGCTTCTGTGTCAATTAAAAAAAAACCACCTCCTTGTAAGATCTTCGAACATAATGTAAGATCTTGCTGTGTGTTACAACTTTTTTTTTTCATTACCTCCTTTACACATTACCTCCATTGCCTATGCTGCCACTGTATGTCTCTGTGGAGACAGACCCTCCAAGGCCAATTCCTTGGGGATGGAATCCAATGTCCCCCAATCCCTCTGTTCCCTCAGACAATGCTACGTCATGGAACAGTCAGGTATCACAGTACCCTGTAGCAGCAACTGTCCTTCTATCCAAATATTCCTGGCCTGCTTTGTATATCTTGCCTAACATGTAGTGCTACAGTCCCCAGATGAAGGATTTTTTGCTGTGCCCTATCATTCCCCTGCAAATTTAAGTTAATTTTGTAATATCTCTTAATATACCATTTCTTGGAATTGCCAGAGTATGTTTATTAATATAAACATTTTTTGGTCTGGGAAATTAATGACAATTTGCACGTACGAGGTAATCTGTAACAGAGCAATCCCACAATAACAAAACCAAAATTTTAGATGAGTATAGATTTCTTAGAATAGCACATGTACAAACACAGTTAAAGAGCACAACATTAAAAAGCTAAAGCTTCAGGAACAATTGTATAGTAGGCAACCAAAATTCAACAGACAGGCACGTTATTTCACAGACACGTTTCCTAAAGGTAGCTTCTGAGATGTTTTCCCAGGAAGGGATTGAACTATTGTTAAGCACTGTAAATCCTAATAATCTCTTGGACTGCCTTATACATGAACCTGCAATGGATGAAATGAGAAAAACTGTGACTAAGGCCGTGATCAAGACTGTTTGAGAGGATATGTGTCCAGAAATTCATCAGAAGTGTAACAGTGCAAGTGTGCAACTAAACATCTGAGAAACAAGGTTTGCTGGAAGTAATGTAGTAATTCAGACAGTTCAGTTAGATGGAGCAAAAAAGGTTAGAGCTCTTGGTCACAAAATCCTTCACATCTGGCACAGATGAGGTAGAGAGGCGTCATGTGATGAAGAGCTCACATGCCAGAAAGCTTGCCCATTTTTTTTCATGTTTTCCATTCTATTAGACTAACGAAAAATGTAACTTGAACATCGACCATCTTGACTTCATCTTAATTCTAAACCGAAGTGTAACATTTGCAGGAGTAGTAGGAAATAACATTCCCCTTTTGAGCTGAACATCTTGGATCTGCTGGAATAGCTGTAAAATACTGTTTTCTCTTTTCACAGTCACCACAGTTACTATGTTAAGCTACTTCATAAAACTTGACTTTACATTTGTACAGTTTAGAATAGAATATTTCAGTTGTAAGGGAGCTACAATGATCATCTAGTCAACTGCCTGACCACTTCAGGGCTGACCAAAAGTTAAAGCAAATTATTAAAGACATTGTCCAAATTCCTCTTAAACACCGACAGGCTTGGGGCATCAACCACCTCTCTAGGAAGCCTGTTCCAGTTTCTGCTGCTCAATCTGTTCTCTGCATCTATGTATCTCTCCCACTCTTCAAGATGACTTCTTTTTAAAATCATCTAATATTTTACAAGATACTTTATCAACTGGTGGAGTACTCCTGTCATTAAAAGTCATGTAAAAGCTTTTGTAGAAGTTCAAGCCATTTTATAAGCTACAAGATATTCACTTATCAGTGAAGCACGACATCTATATGGCAGTTAAAGATTCTACCCCTCAAAAAGTCACCTAGTTCTAGGTTAAAAACAGTAAGAGCCATAAACCAGCTAGGTTTCAAAAAGGAAGTGGAAAAAAACTGGTGGGAAATTAGGTAAATGCCATTTCCTTACCAGCATATTTGACCAGGGTTAATACTAACCAATGTTAACTAATAAGCTTGTGAAAAGCACCACTGAACTTCAAAGTTCTCAGGGCCCCTTCTCTGCTGACAAAATGCACTGTCAAGAAACATAGAAATGTGCTTGAGGCAGGTGTCGGAGTTGACAGTCACTAAATCACAGCCATTTCCTACATTTCCATGTAGATGACCTTTAAGTACTGAGATGGTTCTTGGTGATCTATTTTGATCTGAGCTATGTCAGAAGGATTTCCTGCAAAGATCCTGCGCACTATAGACTTCAGAAAAGCAGTCAAATGACAAACAGTGTAAAAAGTTTTATTTGCTCTGTATCTTGCAACAAATCAAGTTTAATTCATCCACAGTATTTTCTCAATTATAGTCTGTCACAAAATATGGACAAAAGCATCTTTTTTTTTGCATACACTGTGTCTCCCAAGTGCTAAGAAAAACAAACAATTATAGCAGATTAAGAACAAACCTACAGCATTCGTTTACTTTAGCCGGTTCTGATACAGAGGCATACTTTTTTATTTGAGAGTCAACTCCAAGAGACTTAGCTAATTGTACAGCATTTGTATCATCACTAATTAGCGTCCCAAGAGCCACAAGCAGTCTAAAAATGGCTTCAAGATCGTGAACAACTTCCATAACTGTGCTGATTACTGATAAACATTGAGCTTTGCCCTCAATGTTGTTGACTTTATGTAAACATACAGCATAGTTCAATGTCAGTGTGGCAAGTGCAATGTGGATGTTCTTATTATTGCCTGATTTCATTTCTATTGCTTGTGTCATTATTTCATCTCTCTGTTCCATCATGAGCTTCTGGCCTGCCTGGCTGACAAAACAATTGCAAAGAGCTCTAAGTGCCAACAGCTGGTTTGCTTGCTTTCCTTTAGGGTTCAGAAATTTAAGGAGAAGGATGATAAATTGTACATGATCCTTTTCACTGCAGAAGTTCTCATTCACAGTGGGATGCCTGACAGACAATCTAAGAATGTCTAGGGCTGGAAAGACAATATCTAAGAAACAAAACAAAAAAAATTAGCATTAATATTGCATTATGTGCAAATGTGCTCGTGAGTTTCTTTCAGATACAGACATTCTTAAACGCCTAGCTTTGGGAACAGACTGTAACAGTTTCATGCAGAAGGAGATTCAGGTAAAGCACAAGTTGTTTGAAATTCATAGGCAAGTATTGACAAACCCATTCTAGTAACACTTCAATTAATCACAAAAAACCTGCTCCTTAATTTAGGTTAAATGCAGTGCTTTGCAAAAAACCTTAAAATCTTTCCTAAAAGCTCTAATTGATAACACTGAAGGCAAGCACAAAGTATGATAATCCAAAAAGGTCTCTGAAAGCTTCTCAGTGACTGAACACCCCTACACAGGCAGCATCTCCCTTTGTCCTCATTCCATATCTTACAGTTTAGTATATCTACAAAACTGCTTACAGAAAGAAAAATGAGAAAAAAATTTTTAGATTACCTTCAACTCTCAGACATAATTTGCAAAGGAAAAAAAAAAAAAAGAAAAGATGTCCTCAACTCATCAGCTGGAAATCATTGTAAGGAAACTGAACTTAAAGAGTTTGTTCAGCAGCTCCCCACCACTTTACCAAATTTAAAATGTATCTGGCTCCTTGGGTCTACTATCAGTATCCCATGCTTATAACCAAATCAAAGCTGAACCTGCTTAGCTACTTATTGAGCAGTCTTTCCTGCAGATATGCAGAATCTTGAGAATTAACACTTTGTACAACACACAGAGTCTGAAAGATATGAAGACATTAGCCATCACCAGCTCCCACCTGTGCAAAACATAGTTTAAGTGATGTTATATAATGAACATGAATTTTTACTACCAAAATATTCTTCCTGTTAATAAATCTTTAACTGCAATTTCAAGAAAACAGTTCATTTTAACTGCGTATTTAGGTATTTGTATATGCAATGTATCTATTTTTTCCAGAATGTGCAGTAACAACCAAAAGAAACTTTCCAATCCATCAGTGCTGACAATGATACATTATCAAATGAAATTGTATCACCTACACTTGCATTCATTCAGAATGTCATTTCACTAATGCAGTTCTAAGCACATAGCCTAGCTTCAGTAACTTCTCTTCTACTATATTAAACAGGAGCTACTTTTGAGATTTTTTAATAATTTATCTCCATAATTTCATCTCTCATTTGATAACAACTTAGGACTCCAACCTCACACTTCTTTGCTCTATTTCCAAACAAACCTCACACCTCTTTCTTGAGGATGCTCCTGCTAATGAAATAACCATGACTGATGTTTGTATCAAGTTTCTCCTTTATGTTTACTTGTTGTGCCAACAACAAAACCTGACAACCATTTCCCAATTTTGCAATTCATGCCACTGCCTCTGCTACTGATCAGTGCTATTAGCATCTGTTTATCATCTTCTGGTTTCTGCTTGGGTTATAAACTCTTTGGGACAGAGTGTTGCAAGTATCTACCTTCTGGCCAGTTCACTGCTCTCCATAAAGTCTCAAGCTGCTGTGCTGTAGGTGTTTCTGCAGAGGTGTTGCATGTTGCAGACAGCAACTTTTCTAGGATTATCAAGTCATCTTCTGTAAGCTTATGTTCTTCAGTTGCACTGCCATTAAGTTCCTTTAATTTGCCTGTAAGACAAATAGAAGAGGCATGGCTTTCTGACATTAGAACTTCACAAATCCAGATTGTGAGTAAAATACCACAAAAACACTCTACAAACAAGTTACAACTATTGTAATTGTTGGGGGGGGGGCGTTCGATTTTTAAACATTACTTTTCCCAGTTTCATCATCTTTCTAATTTTAAGTTTTAATCATCACAATGATTGCTACTATTAAGCCCCCTCTAATACTGCAACACAGAGATTCAGAATTCACATCTTAGCCTACATGCAGGCAAAAATGCAGAAAAGAATCACACGACCGTTAGTTCTCATAACTGAAATACCATTCCTTTTTTGCTCTTTTCTATTATTAGGTAGTAAAAACAATAAAGTACGTACATGTTCTTAGTGTTAAGTTACCACAGTTTTTGTATTTTTATTATTTAAGTGCCATAAGCAAAATATGATTGCACCATGTCCTATATTCAAATTTCAATGTAATTTAAAAATCAAAGTGTTGGAAAAGTTATTTTAATGCACAGCATTTTGCTTAAAATGGATCTAGCATTAAGCACTGCCAATCATGGTTCTTCCAGAATTGATGAGGGCCACATCAATGAACACACAAGCAGGCAGCATTACATTAGTACACCCTTATGAGTTTCATAGTATGGACAAAAATCAACTGTGGGCCTCTCATGAAAAAAAACGTACAGCTGTTAAATCTTTCCCAGTCCAGCCATAATCTTTACAAGTGCATTTAACCATGCACTGTTACAAAACTTCAGAAAACTCAGTAAACCTAGTTTTCAGATTCTAAGCTTCAAAAACCAAACAACCCACTAAGCCTGTGGCTGATATGGTTATCCTTCATGAATATTGGACAAAAATGAACTAATGCAGTTTGTTTTTAAGACTACGTAAAAGTCTCTGCTTTGCTATAACGTAGCAGAATGAAAGTCAGCTAGTTTTGCTGTTCTCCCTCTTAGTAAGTTCTGGACAAAATTTTACTGTAAAATCTCTGCAAAACTAAGAGGAGGCTGAATCTATTTACTAGCGACAACCTCCCAAAAAAAATTTTCTAGTTTGTGAATCTTCTACCTTCTCCCCGAACAAACAAATACCAGAGCGCAAGAACATTCAGGGAAACAGGACAAGGCTGACTGAAGATTCCGACTGGTATTTTTAAAGAGAAAATGAGACCTGAACAGTATGTAGAAGGGCAATACTGCAGGCAGAAGGCCTCAGAGGGTCCCAGAGAGACACTGACCAGCTTGAGAAGTGGACCCATGCAAACTTCATGAAGTTCAACAAAGACAAGTGCATGGGTCCTGCACCTGGGTTGGGGCAATCCCCAGTATCAATACAGGCTGGGCGATGAATGGATTGAGAGCAGCCCTGCAGAGAAGGACTTGGGGATACTGGTGGATTAAAAATTGGACGTGAGCCGGCAATGTGCGCTTGCAGCCCAGAAAGCCAACTGTATCCTTGGCTGCATAAAAAGTGTGGCTAACAGGTCGAGCGAGGTGATTGTCCACTCTCATGAGACCCTACCTGGACTACTGCATCCAGCTCTGCGGTCCCCAGCACAAGAAAGACATGGACCTGTTGGAGCAGGTCCAGAGGAGGACACACAAATGATCAGAGGACTGGAACACATCTAAGATGAAAGGCTGAGCAAGTTGGGGTTATTCAGTCTGGAGAAGAAAAGGCTCCAGGGAGACCTTATTGCAGCCTTTCAATATATAAAGGGGGCTTATAAGAA